ATAAAATGTTTATAATTTATAAAAGTGGATATTTTATTTTAAAATGTTGAAAAATTTAATATTTGTTATATATTTAAATGTATATATTATAATAAATTATATTATTTTGTAAGTGTATATTCATAATTTATTGTATTGTATAAAAGTATTATAATATTATTATTTTAATATAATTACAGAAAGTGTGTATACAGTTCATTGTTTATTTATATATAATAAATTATTTATTTACAATATAATATTATTAAATTGGAACATGGTTATAATATACAAATATTGTATTTATAATAAATGTAATTATAATTAATAAAAGTGTATATATATAGTTCATTATTTTTTAAATGTTAACATGCAGGGTGCAGGCACAGCTATTGGAGAGCTGCCTCCTTACTTCATGGCACGGGCGGCACGGCTGTCTGGAGCAGATCCTGATGATGAAGATTATGAGGAATTTGAGGAGATGCTGGAGCAGGCACAGAGTGCACAGGTCTGCATCTCATCTCATTCTGGACCCACATGTCCAAACCTTCACCTTCATACAGACAGCAGCTCCTTTTGATCTTCATCAGGGGCTCCGGTAGATGTTCAAAGCTTAACTAACCATTTCCTTCCAGTGATCATGCCTTTATGAAGCCGACAGTGATGCCCCCCCATGAAGCAGCAGATACTGTATCCTGTTAGAGGGAGGTGTCCCAGTGTCTCATTCTCATGAGCCCTCACCATTGTGGTTCACTTATGCGGGTCACATGAATTCTTGGAAGGGCTCTCCCCTGACTTCCAGTAAACCCTTTGAGCAGAGGGTGACTCAGAGGCAGAGCTTCCCTTTAATCACGGCCTCTTGGTGTCTAAGTGGACCCCACATGGCCTGCGCCTTCACACAAAGCTTTTTAATTGGAGGGCTTTAATATGGTGCATTGCACCTCAGCGTTTAGTGATTAATCAGCAAAATGTCACCCTTTTTTTTTTTTGCACAATTGTACACAAGTAATTATTTTAAATATTTTTTTTGCATAGTATTGACATTTTTCTTTGTAATTTTGCCTTATAATATTGCACAGTAACAAAGTTGACATCAGAAATTGTTCTACTGAAACAATATACAATAAATTTTTTAATATAAACAATGAATGATTATAATACATTATAGTAATGATATTTATTTTTTATGTATAAAATTGTTCCAAATGATTTCATATTTTTGATGTAGTTTTAGATTTTAAATAAACTATTAGTTCATACAATATAGACAATATAAAGTCCAATTCATATAGCAGTATAAGAAGTCATGTAGATTGGTGAATCCTAAGATCAGTTATCCATTTTAAGCCCAACTATTTTATCAAGTTTTTTTTAAAACTAAAAAATGTTGAAATTGTCCATTTTCTTACAGGATTTTGCAACAAGAGCCAAGCTTGCGGTGCAAAACATGGTGCAGAAAGTGGGATTTTTTGGAATTCTAGCTTGTGCCTCTGTAAGTAACATTCTTGAACATTTTTTCCTTTTTATCTCAAATATCCGATTATTTTCCTCACAATACTGAGATATTAACACAGAATTGTGAGATATAAATGTTGAATTGCAAAAAAATACTCTTGCAGTTAAAAAAAAGTCATAAACGAGAGAAGTTGCAATTTATGTTTTTATGTGTATATATTATACACTTGGCTGCTAAATATAAAATCTTTCAAGAGCCATTAATGTAGTGTCTCTTCATTTACTTGCCTCTATCATTTTTTAATCAATTGCCTTTATTTGTGCTTATTTTTGTCATTACGTATTTCCCATTTAAGTGGTTTACAGTAGCTTATCCAGTGAATGTGTTTGTTGTGAATAAGCAGTTGATGTTCTGTGTTCACTGGGTGTAATGTAAGAATAGTTGATAGTCATGTAATGGAAGAACAGTTCTGAGTTTCCCATGCATTTTCCAGTCTAGCATCTTTCAGTGCTTACCAATGCTTACAATGTTTCTCAGATCCCAAATCCCTTGTTTGACCTGGCTGGAATCACCTGCGGTCATTTCCTGATTCCATTTTGGACCTTCTTTGGAGCGACTCTCATTGGAAAGGCCATTATTAAGATGCACATTCAGGTACAAAAACAAATGCCTCTTACACATTTGTTAAGCACTTCCAAACAGAAGTGTTTTGTCTTAACTAATGATGATTCTCATAAATGTCAAAGTAATTTTTCAGTTGGCCAGTGCCATTAGAGACACACCTTTGCATGTACCTCCCTTGCGTTTTGAATGTTGACTCAGCAGATTCTAGACAGCGGTGCATCTGATGTCTTCAGATCTGCTTATTTCATCCAGATGATCAAATCATGAGCATGAGCGAGTCAGTGATCTCACCGGGTGTCACATGTCTCATCACGTCTCACTTTCTCCTAAAGACACTGTCTGCCCCCCACTAAACACAGCCGCTGCCTTGAGGAACATGCCGTTGATTCATTGTCTAACAATGTTTATCTGCTTTTTGCTTCTCCACAGAAACTGTTTGTTATCATAACATTCAGCAAGCACATAGTGGAGCAGATGGTCTCTCTGATCGGGTGAGTAATGACACCAGCGTGAGATGAATATGGACACCCAGTGTAAACGATGGTAAACATTATAGCAAATAAACAAGGACTACATGAATCAAGAACACATGAAATTTATAGTAGTTGTGCACATTCTCAAGATGGATTTGTTCACTTTCGGCTTGAAGAGTGACCGTTCAAAATGCTTCTTAGACATATAAGAATAAATGCATTATTAATCATTTACTTTTGCACAGTGAATAAAACATTTGAGTGAAAAAATATGTGACCCTGGATCACAAAACCAGTCATAAGGGTCAATTTTTCGAAATCGAGAATTATACATCATATGAAAGCTGAATAAATAAGCTTTCCATTGATGTATGGTTTATTATGATAGAACAATATTTGCTCGATATACAACTATTTGAAAATCTGGAATCTGAGGGTGCAAAAAAATCGCCTTTAAAGTTGTCCAAATGAAGTTCTTAGCAATGCATATTACTAATCAAAAATGAAGTTTTGATATATTTACAGTAGGAAATTTACAAAATATCTTCATGGAACATGATCTTTACTTAATATCCTAATGATTTTTGGCATAAAATAAAAATCTATTATTTTGACCCATTTAATGTATTTTTGGCTATTGCTACAAATATACACCAGCAACTCCAGGGTCACACATATACATTACTGTTAAAATGTTTTGGGGTCAGCAAGACTTTTTTTAAAGTAATACTTTTATCTAGCAATGATGCATTAAAGTGGACAAATGACAGTAATCACGTTTATATTGTTATTAAAAAAAAATTAATCAAAGAATCCTTAAATGTATTACAAAAATATTAAGCAGCACAGCTGTTTTCAACATTGATAATAATAAGAATTGTTTCTTGTGCAGCACATTAGCATATTAGAATGATTTCTGAAGGATCATGTGACACTGAAGACTGGAGTAATGATGCTGAAAATTCAGCTTTACATCACAGGAATAAATTATATTTTAAAATATATTAAAATATAAAACAGCTCTTTTAAATTGTATTAATATTTCACAATATTACCATTTTTGCATTTATGATCAACTAAATCCAGCCAAAAACATGCACAAAAAAACAGTAGTGTATAGATGAAAATAAAGAACATTTCTTTACCTAGAAGAAAGAAATGTCATTGTGCATGTAAATGCACAAAAGGAAACCAAAAAAAGGATCTAGCAGGGTTCATTGAACTCTTTCATGAACTGTGGGCAGCTTATTTTAATGCTTGCATTCAGACCCCTTTCACACAGTCAGGTTCATACCATTGTTTAGTCTGAATCATCTATAGAAACAGAGTTTCTGTTCCTCTGTACTGATATATAGGACGTGTGAATGGCTGAATATGTCCAGGTCACATTTCACTCCAAAATCATAAAGAAAGAAGAAATTATGTTGCTTAAATTGATCCTATTTCAAGACCATTAAGATTTTTTCCCTGTCATGACATTGACATTTAAGTACATCAGAGCTCAAAGGTAAAACCTTGGGGGAGGGAAGATGTGCTTACCGGTAATTGCCATTTAAATTAGTTAAAACTTGTTAAGACTGTAAAGGTTATCTTTAAGTATCATCTTTATAATGTTTTTCATTTGATTCTGGGGTGAAATGAGACCTTGAGATACACCAACACTATACCAACACTATATTTGCAACACATACTGAAGCCACTTATTAGTAAGCCTAAAGACATCTTCACCATTTATGGTGATGTCTGTGAGTTTAGCATGGGATGCAGTCAGAATTGAGATGATGTAGCAGAGTGACTCAAAAGTAGAGATGTGGTCTCCGTGTTGGAACTCTAAAGTACAAATGAAACTACTATTCATCTTTGAACGAGGCAAGACAATTATAGCTTTATAATCAAGCCGCATCGCACAAGCACTTCATAATTACGATTTAAGAATGCAGTCAGCATGTTTCATCACATGATTTAGGCGAGATCCTTTGAATTTGATGTGCTGCTCAAACTTGAGGTTGTTAATCATCAGCCTGTTGTAGTTTTCTTGTGGCGAGGTCATGTGACTGAGACCAGTAACGTTCAGACAATATATTGTGGTTGCTTTCAATAGTATTTCTGTGCTTTTTGATGTAATAAAGATATGATAAATGCATCTTAAACTGTGGTGCAGAACTATTATAATTGATCCTACGTGATGGTTTGGTTTCACTGACATTCACACCCACCCAAAACTGGGCGGTTCTTTCTACATTGCAGTGATGACACAATATTGAGTCACTTCCTCATTAATTGCTTTAGAGCAGTTCCTACAGAAGCCTGGCTGCTATAAGTGAGGGTTCAGAGAGCTTCTGGCTCATTGTACTGGAGGCTTCACTGAAGGAAAGCTGTTGTGGACTGCTGGCGGCTTCAGTTCCTGGTAAGACTTTGCTAATCATATCTTTATCTTTTGGACAGTATTATCCCTGGAATCGGAGCATCTCTTCAGAAACCTTTTAGGGAGTACTTGGAGGCCCAGAGAGCCAAGCTTCATAACCCAGCGGGCGATGGAGCATCAGCTGTAAGAATCAACCAATGACTTCTCATTTCATTTATTTACTTTTTTTTTTTTTAGTTTAATATATTTAAAAATATATTAAAAAAAAAATGTTTATTCTCATTCAATTTATTTCTCACATTTAATTTTTTATTTAGAAACCTTTTTCTTGATTCTAAAAGTATTAAAGGCAAACTTAATTTGGCCCATAATCTTAAGTAATTCTGATTATTTTAAAAATAATAATATTTTTTGATTAAAAAAATATGAACAAATAAAAATGAAACAAATAAAT